GTTTTTCCCAAAGTTTCTGTGTTAAAGGAGGAAGGTTCAGAGGTGAAATGATTAGGTTATGAGAGCTATAACCTAATCATCAGAAAATCAATTTGATGGCTTAATAATTCAAATAGACTAACTGGGTGATAACTATAGGTAAATGGGGCATAGCTAGAGAAATGAGGTCACTGGAGGCATGTCCTTGGAGATTAACTTTTGTCCCCCTGACTCCTCCCTCACACATACACTCTTTCTCTGTTTCCTGTCTTCCATGAGCTGAGAAGTTTTCCTCCACCATAGCCTTCTGCCATGATGTTCTGCCTTACCTTAGGTCCACAGCAATGGAATTGACCAATCATAGACTCTCTAAAACTGTGAGCCCCAAATAAACTTTCCCTCCTCTAAATTGTTTTTGTCAAATATTTTGGTCCCAGCAACAAAATACAACCAATAACTGGGAAGGTGAGATTTTAGTATCAGAAATTTGTCATTCATTAAACTACAGAGATAAAGCATCCTTATTTTTTCCCCACCTGCTTCTCTAGAATGTATTTATTATTAATCTTTTAACCAAGAAAGTTTCCTAAACTCACTCTTGCTTTTCACATAAAATATCACCCAATTCATATGTGATTTCTTCTTGTATCATTTCATTATTATTCTTAGTAACAATGATAATGAATATTTTGGGGCTATGCTATGTTCTAGTTGCTGTTCTAATTAACTTCACAAGTGTTAATTCATTTAAACAAATACCCTATGAGGAGATACTATTTCTGTTATGACATAATAAATGCACAAGCTAAGGCAGTGTAGAATTCAAGTAACTTTCTCAAGATCATTATCTGGGGTGTCTGATTTAGAATCCCAAAGCAGGTAATATGGATTTAGGGTCCATGCTGAAAGCCAATAACCATTAGTGTTTTCTCATCAAATGGAAATCCTTAACTTAAATTTAAAGTTTTCTACATTCTGTTTACATTTTCCCATTCTCTAGTCTTCATCATAGGTATTTTTTGGTCAAAGTAGAAGTCTGCTCTATCTGTGGACAAACATGAACATCTTTGTTACTTGCCTTTTGCTCACATAGTTTCTACTCTTGGGTTTCTTAAGGCCCAGTTCAGCTAATTCAGGCTTCTTGGAACCTTTATTGTTTACCTATTAATTATTGGATTTGCTACTTATACATTAATTCATTTGTTTATACACTAATTCATTTATTCAACAAACCTTATGAGTGTATTGTGTATCAAGCAATATGAAACATGGCCCCTGCTCATCAAGAATTAAGTCAGATTGGGAAGGCAGATGCACAGGTAAAATATTTCATGTGAATAATTATTGTGGGAGTTACTTTAACCAAGGTACATTCAGGGTATTGTAGGAGCACAGAAGTGCTGGAATTTGAAGAGATCTGATGCTGACCCATTGCTGATTCCAAGATGCACAGGTATTATATAGATATTCATTATAGAGATATGTGTGGGGAAAGGGGAAGGGGAAATTAAATTGAGGCAGAAGGAAAACCATGGGAAAAAGGTATACAGGTGAGACAAAAATATGATAATCAGAGAGCTGCTATTACTTGAATCTGACGGGGACAGGTGTGCTTCTGAGCATGACAGGAAACAAACTTCTAAGATAGTATTTTAAGTAGGAGGGTTCATGTATTTTTTTAATGTATTAGTTCTAGGGAAATTTGAAACAAGGGTCAAATTAGTGTTAGGAAGTCTATTTAGGATACACTAACAACAGTCCAGATAAGAAATTATGGAGTTTGAAATTGTTTCAATAATGAGATGTGACACAGTTACCTCAGCTGCAGATCTGGATGGATCCTGTGGAATCTGAAATGACCCTTGGGCATATGTCCTGGATAAGTGTATGATTGTGGTAATACTAATTGAAATCAGTAATTCAGGAAAATGAACAAGTTTTAGATAGAGTTTAATTTAGGGCAACCAAGGAGAAATACTTTGCAAGTGGAAGAAATGTGCTAATTATTCAATGAAAATTTGAGTGTTTATTATTTGTGCTGAATTTTGGAGGTTTAAAATTGTCTAAGACATAACTTTTACCCTTAAAGAGTACATAGCCCAGTTGAGGGAGGTGGAAATTAGATAGTAATATAGAAGAATTATAGTGACCAATTAACCAGGTCTTTGGATCATGTGGCTAAGAGGATAGCTGAGTTTGGGTGGTGGATGAAGTGTGCACAGGGCAAACGATTTTAGAGTTCAAACACAATTTTTACAGATAGAGAAGGCTGAATATGAATGCTATTCTAGTTGTTGGAACATAAAAATTACTGATGTGTGAGAAAATGTAGGGCTCTCAGGGAGGTCATTCTATGGCTGAGATGTAGAGTGAGTGAGTTCAAAAACATGCAGTTGTGAATAGATGCTCTTAAGTTTGTGTTTGTTATAGCAGGACTTCAACTTTAACTTCAATTCAACTCTCCAGCTCAAACTTTTTCTAACAATTATTGCCTAGCACAATAACTCTAAACTAGTAATGCAGGTCAGGAAATATCATGAACATATCAGAGGCTTTATCAGGATTGTTACTTTCATTTAAACAACAAAAAAAGCTGGTATGTTTTTCCAGGTTTGGGAAACCCAGGACTTTTGACTGAGTGATTGGTGGAATGCTTTTCTTCCAAAACTGTCTTTAAAACAATTGATTTACCCCAGTGCTGTCTGACATTCCAAATCTTTTCTTTATAAGCAGAGGTCACAAAGGAGTATAATATAATGCCCTTGAAACTTAATTTGGAAGTCAATTTAATGACATTTTTATTAGTAGAAAACAGGTCCTAGTTTGTATTTGTGACTGAATACCAAGTTGTTTTAATTTTCTGACAAACTTATAAAATCCAGAAAGACACGGGCTTTTATTATCCGCCTATTTCCCTTCCCCGTATTTCCCCCCTCCCTTTCTCATTTATACTCCCTGTCTCTTGAGAAGCTTGGCTCTTGGCCAGAGCATGTGTTCCTCAAGTCCCTGCAGAATCTGATTGAAGTGAAATTGGCAGATTTCCAAGTGCAAGGAGCAGATAAAGAAGTTATATTATGTGCATATAGAAATATGCCTAATGACTCCCACTATTCTATACAGTTTTTAATCACTGATTAAAAAAAGGGTCAGTAGATTCCTAAAACAATTTGCAGTTTATGATTTATGCTTTGGTGAATTGGGCAGATTATTTACTCATCCAAATGCATGCTTCAATACCAGCAAGGCTTTTGGCTATTACTTTTATTCTGGAATTCATCTCAGTGATAAAATATTCAATTCAAGTCAACAAAACTCAAATGCATAAAAGATACTGTATTAGTAAACCAGTAAAACTGGTAAAAAATCTGAATTTTTTTTCATGTAATTCAAGGAAATGGCCATTATAAAGATTATGTAGTTGTATGGTCACTTGCATTTCAACACAACACAGTTGTGTTGATTATCTGTGTGCTTATTTTATCCATGGCACAATTTTTTAATGTGTGTGATTTGGAACCCTATCTCCTGTCATGGTCCCAACCCCAGGGTGGGTTTTCAGCCATCCACAAGGAGTTTGCAGTGGTTGATCAGCCTGGTTCTGCTGCCTCAAGCCACAGATTTTCAAATTTGTATATATCACCTGAAGTTTCAAATATATTTTACTATTGTATATTTACTATTTTTACAATGCCTAATCTGATGTATCCTTAGTTTATTTTCAAGTCATGATATTCCATTGACAAGTTTGGTACCTATGTAAGAACTATTTTTTTCTTGGTACTTATTTAGCATATGAAGTAATTTGGATTACTTTAATCATTACTTAAGAAATTACTAATCATTAAATAGCTAGAAATGTGGAGTTTATTTGTATAAGAAAAAATCTTTCATACATGAATCATATAAATTTTGTTAATTTAAAAAATCTGGGGGAGGGAGAATCTACTTAAATTTAAGTCTCTTTGTTTTTGTGAACAAAAACAATTTTAGGAAAGGGAATAAAGCAGAAATGGCATTACGAAGTTAATATGACTTGAATTGTCATTTTAATTTTTTTCTTCTTATTTGTTATTTTTAGGTATGAATTGTCATTCTATTAGCATATTTTAAAAAATAGTCTTTATTACCTTTTATTACCACTTTAATTATGTCCACCCATAAATGATTTAGGAAAAGACATAAAAATTTCTAGGAAAATTTGTATTTAAATTCAGATATTCCCTTGACCTCTCTGCAATTTTTCATGCATGATGTGTCACAAATACTTTTGGAAAATTTCAGAAGTGGGATGAATTAAGGATTGAATCCTTATATTCATTTTAACATTCTTTTCTTTTCAGACAGGACATGAAGATATGTGGAAATAAGATTCGTGAATCCCTTCTTCCAGGAATGTCTTTCACAAATGGAGCTTCACTACTGGTTTTCACTGGACATTGACCTTGTGGCAGAGCCACAACTGCCTTTCCTGCTATTTTCAATGATTCACAGAACATTTGAATAGTGATGCTTGCCTTGGCTTTACCGATTTTCATCCCAATACCTTGTTTACTTTGTTGGGGCAGAAAAGCTTGCACTAATTTCTCTCCATGGTGGCTAATCTTATCAAGAGCTTGATTTTACCTTATATACATAAGCTTTGCAAAGGAATGTTTACAAAGAAACTGGGGAATACAACAAAAAAAAAAGAGAATCATCAGCAAAAAAAGAATCAAGATTTTCATACTGCTGGCCACACCAAACCCCCCAAATTTTCTAATACCTTAAAAAGCACTGTAAAGAAGATTGCAAAGTGTTCGTCCACTCGCAACTTATCTACTGAAGAAGACGAGACTAATAAAGACTTTTCCCTCTCACCAACATTCAGTTACCGAGTGGCTATTGCCAATGGCCTGCAAAGGAATATTAATGTAACCAAAGGTGATAATGAGGATCTGTTTCAAGAGCTATCTTCAGTTGAGAGCTCTTACTCAGAATCATTAAATGAACTAAGGAGTAGTACAGAAAACCAGGTACAATCTGCACACACCATGCCAGTTAGACGCAACAGGAAGAGCTCCAGCAGCCTTGCACCTTCTGAGGGCAGTTCTGATGGGGAGCGCACTCTGCATAGCTTAAAACTGGGAGCTTTACGAAAGCTGAGGAAGTGGAAAAAGAGTCAAGAATGTGTCTCCTCCGATTCAGAGTTGAGCACCATGAAGAAGACCTGGGGAATAAGAAGCAAATCTTTAGACAGAACTGCCCGGAATCCAAAGACAAATGTTCTAGAACCAGGATTCAGTTCCTCTGGCTGCATTAGCCAAACACATGATGTCATGGAAATGATCTTTAAGGAGCTTCAGGGAATAAGTCAGATTGAAACAGAACTCTCTGAACTACGAGGGCATGTCAATGCTCTCAAGCACTCCATTGATGAGATCTCTAGCAGTGTGGAGGTTGTGCAAAGTGAAATCGAACAGCTACGTACAGGGTTTGTCCAGTCTCGGAGGGAAACCAGAGACATCCATGATTATATTAAACACTTAGGTCATATGGGTAGCAAAGCAAGCCTGAGATTTTTAAATGTTCCTGAAGAAAGATTTGAATATATTGAGAGTGTGGTGTACCAAATTCTAATAGATAAAATGGGTTTCTCAGATGCACCAAATGTTATTAAAATTGAATTTGCTCAGAGGATAGGACACCAAAGGGACTGCCCAAACGCAAAACCTCGACCCATACTTGTATACTTTGAAACCCCTCAGCAAAGGGATTCTGTCTTAAAAAAATCATATAAACTCAAGGGAACAGGTATTGGAATCTCAACAGATATTCTGACTTATGATATCAGAGAAAGAAAAGAGAAAGGAATTCCATCTTCCCAGACATATGAGAGCATGGATATGAAGTTATCTACTCCAGAGCCCAAAACCAAAAAGAACAATTGGCAGTTACCTGATGACAGCGATGGAGAGCTGGAATCTGACTTCAATAGAAACAGTTATGCTGTGCTTTCTAAGCCAGAGTTTCCAACAAAAGGAAGTACTTCCAAGTCAAGTTCCAAATCACACAGTGCCAGATCTAAGAATAAAACTGCTAACAGCAGCAAAATTTCAAATAAATCAGATTATGATAAAATTTCTTCACAATTGCCAGAATCAAATAACTTGGAAAAGCAAACCACAACCCAATATGCAGATGCAATGCCTCTCTGGCATTCACAGAGTGATTTTTTCACTGCTAAACTTAGTCGTTCTGAATCAGATTTTTCCAAATTGTGTCAGTCTTACTCTGAAGATTTTTCAGAACATCAGTATTTCACTAGAACTAATGGGAGCTCCCTCCTTTCATCTTCTGACCGGGAGCTTTGGCAGAGGAAACAGGAGGGTATACCCACCTTGTATGACAGTCCTCAGGACCAGCGTTTCCTTGAGAGTACTCAGGGTGTCCAAGTGCACAGTGAAATTGAGAACACAGAAACTGTGGATAGTGGAATGAGTAATAGCATGGTGTGTCCATCTGGAGACCCAAGTCATTACAGTGATTCTCAGCTCTCTTTACATGAGGATCTTTCCCCATGGAAGGAATGGAATCAAGGAGAGCAAGGAACTGATTTAGGTTTAGACTCATCCACCCAGGAAGTGTTTGATTATGACACAAACAGTTTATCTGACCAGCAGCTGGATGTCTTCAATAAAGACCTAGAAGACTTGGGAAAATGCCACAGTGACCTACAAGATGACTCTGAAAGCTATGATTTAACCCAAGATGACAACTCTTCTCCATGCCCTGGCTTAGATAATGAACCACAAGGCCAGTGGGTTGGCCAATATGATTCTTATCAGGAAACTAATTCTAATGAGCTGTACCAAAACCAAAGCCAGTTGCCCATGATGTATAGAAGCCAAAGTGAACTGCAAAGTGATGATTCAGAGGATGCCCCATCCAAATCTTGGCATAGTCGATTAAGCATTGACCTTTCTGATAAGACTTTCAGCTTCCCAAAGTTTGGATCTACACTACAGAGAGCTAAATCAGCCTTGGAAGTAGTATGGAACAAAAGCACACAGAGTCTTAGTGGGTATGAGGACAGTGGCTCTTCTTTAATGGGAAGATTTCGTACATTATCGCAATCAACTGCCAATGAATCTAGTACCACCCTTGACTCTGATGTCTATACAGAGCCTTATTACTACAAAGCAGAGGATGAGGAGGACTACAGTGAACCAGTGGCTGATAATGAAACAGATTATGTTGAAGTCATGGAACAAGTCCTTGCTAAGCTAGAAAACAGGACTAGTATTACTGAAACAGATGAACAAATGCAGGAATATGATCACCCTTCGTATGAAACACCTTATGAAACCCCACAAGATGAGGGTTATGATGGCCAGGCAGATGATGTAGTTAGTGAAGGAGAATTGGAACCCTTACATGAACCAGCATCTGAAATGGAAATAAGAGAAGATGAAAACCAAAACATACCTGAGCCTCCAGTGGAAATCACAAAGCCAAAAAGAATCCGTCCCTCTTTCAAAGAGGCAGCTTTAAGGGCCTATAAGAAACAAATGGCAGAGTTGGAAGAGAAGATCCTGGCTGGAGGTACTCATGTTTAAATGCTACATTATGAATTAATCATGTTTTGACTTTAACTATTGCTGCTTAGAGCATGATCTGTTTACCTGGATAAAGAGTGTACTTGTGATGAATTTGCATGTCTTTTTAGAGGATTTTATTTTGTGCAGCTAGCTCTCCCAGCAAGTTTGGCTTGATAATCTAAAATAAAAATATATTTCAAATAGGTTATTTTAAATGGGCTCCAAATTTAACCCTACTCCTTGGAATAGGATTCTTATGCTAGACACAAACCTCATTTCATATGAACCAACTGTGGCATCAGTTGTCAAGAAAATGAGGAGTGAAATCAAAGGACAACCCCTTAAGACAACAGCTGGCTGTCTGCTCCTTGGTTTCATTAAGTTTATAGGGATGCAGAGAAAGGTTCAGTTAATCTTAAAAAAAATTGAGAAGTTGGAATTTTAACTACTCCTCCCATCCAAATTACAATTTGGAGCATGATGGTAGAAAGAGTTGGGTTTGCACAGCCAATCCTAGCCAGCCCAACCAGAAACTTCCTTACCACCTACTGATGCAGCTGAGGGAGAACAATAAAGCCAAACCCTCAGACAATGCCTGATGAGTGACCACAAGTCATACTTTAAAGACAAATTAGTAAGGGAATAGAACAGTGAAGCTTCCTCTTTGAGAGAGGAGTAAAATTCTCTTCCCCATTATGGAAATGAGAAAAGGACTTTATCTAGCACTTTTTCTTAATTTCCTGAGGGAACAATTTTGGATTATATACTTGGTAGTTGTATATAAAATATGAGTTTAGTGATTTTTTTTGTCAAACTTTATCAGTATTCACAACCTTTGTTTGCATGCTTATCACTTTATCTCAAATATTTATTGCATATAATATTTTATGAAGGCATGTATTTTTGTGATCAGGTTTACTTGCTTTTAAGCAATAATGCCATAATATTTTACTTACTTTGTAGCTGATTGCAGCTTCTTTGCCTTAACCAAAGCTGTGATCAGCTACTCCTCTAAACTGGCTATTTTCTGGTTAACATGGATGAATTACTGAATAATCAAACACCGTTGTTGTTAAACTGTTTTAAGCCCTAAGAAAATTGAAATAACAATTAGGCTTCTCTGTTCTAAAAATCTATCTGTGTGACACAAGACAGCTTAGGTAATTTAAAGAACAATGTAAGTCAAGGGAATCTTGGGTGCATTGGCTGTGACGGTTAGTTAGTTTTTTTTTTTTTTTTCAGAGAGGCAGTATTTAACTATATTTAAAGCTGATTTGAAAATGCAAATTAAATTTTATGTAAACACAACTTATATCAAAAGAATATCTATCTCACATTAGAGTGATTTTTGGTGGTTAGCTATCCTTATTGCTGAAACTAAGTTGATAATTTCTGAGGATAGAAGCCAGAAGTTAGTTTGACATTGTTGCTTATTCATTGTTGATTGAGAGGAGTCTACTCAAGGATAAATTAAGACTAAACTTTCTGTGATTGTGTGTGTGTGTGTGTGTATGTGTGTGTTATGATATAATAGATGAATGTTTTAATATCCACTGGCTAAAGTATCTGTTCAAAATGTTAGTCAATATTATAAATAGGACCAGACCATAAATTTTTAAAAAATAAATAAATTTTCAAATTTTAAGAAGAAAACCATGATTAAACAATGGATCACTGTCCAAATTTTAAAAATGAGAAGATCCTGCCATTTATTACAGCAAGGGTGAAACTGGAGAACATGTTAAGTAAAATAAGCCAGAAACAGAAATAAATATTGCATGCTCTCACTTATATGTGGAATCTTTTTAAAAAGTTTAAATATATAGAGGTAGAGAATAATACAATGAGTGGGATAGATGGAGGAAGAAATGGTTGATACATGTGAGAGAATACAAAATAGCAGATAGGTAGGATGAACCAGATTTAGGAATCTGATATATAACATGAGGACTATAATTGATAATAGTTACTATAGCCATGTTATATGAGTCAGTTGTCACTGTTTTATACACACACACACAGGACAAAGATATGAGATGATAGATATGTTAATTTGCTTCAATATAATAACCACAATTCTCATCATGTTGTAAGCTTTAAATATACACAGTAAAATGTATTAAAAATTAAAAAATAAAAATTCCAAATTAGCAAGTCTCTACAAAGTAGATCATTACTGGTAATGACCTTCTACTAGCTAACAAACCTAGTCATATAGTGGCAGCTCTTGAAAACATAAATGTACTTGGTTAACTATGTGTTAACCAATGTAAGGGTTCTAAGACAGAGAAAATAATCTTTTGCCATTGATCTGACTCAATAGGCCTGGCAAGAGAGAACTTAGACCCCTCCACCATCTTGGAACTTGGATTGTTGTCATCCTATGTGCCAACTTTGAATGGAATCTGTTGGATATCCTCTGTCCTAGAGGATCAGCACACACATCTTTAAGATGCTCTCTGGTTAGTGAAAGGCACCAGATTGACTACCCAGGAGGCTGCAGTAGCCTAGATTTTAAAGGCCATCGCTGCTCCCCTTGGCAACAGTCAGGCAGTTTTCCCATCCTGTGCTACCAATATGCTTCAGAAGGAAGGGCGGCCAAAGAAGGACATTTTCCAGGCCCTTTCCCTGCCCAGAGCATTCCAATGAGATGCCAATTGTTATGATGTTTTCTGTGCCCATGGCCATCTGCTTGTTGAGTGTTGAGCAGATGCCAACAGATATTTCTCTCCATGGCTACCCAGTGGTCATTAGGTAGCAGTGCTGTCTTTTCTTCATTTCTAACCTGGCCAGATTGGACCATAAAGATCTTGCTCTAAGGTTCTCTGTGAGATGCTATTCCCTTCACATAGATTTATGAACTTATGGCTAGGTATTTGAATTATTAATTTCAACTCTTGTTTGAGGTTCTGGAAGACAAGAAAACCCTAATTTTTTGTAGATGTGGAAAGTTAGTGATAGTGTTCTTGAGGACCTTCACTTTGAGCATCATTCTAAAAGGGTAAGGGATTTTAAAGTGTTTATGGCCAGATACTTACCCATGAAGTAAAATTCTTCCCTTGTTGCTGAGCCTTGCTGAATGGCACCAGCTGACCTAAAATAAATACCACAATAGGGACTTTCTTATCCTTACTTTCAGCCTTTTACCACCTACCATATGGAATTTACTCTTGTCTCTGAATTCCTATGTCCCTGCTTCCTATGGCCCTGGATTCCACCTTATATTTATGTACATTTCTCATTTTATCTTCTAAACTTTTAACCAGAGGCAGGGGAGTCTTTTCTTTTTCATCTTTTTATTTGTACTATATGCTGAGATTACAGTGAGTTAATATGTGTTGAATGAATACCTGAATGGAGGTTGGAAGGATACTAAATAAAAAGCACCAACTTCCAAGTCAAATCCAAATTCAAACTGTGGCCTTTCATTGCTAAGGGTATGAAGGTGTTTGGAGAGCTCAGAAGAATGCTAAAAAAAATTGTTAATCAGCAGCATTACGGATGTACTAGCACTCTTCAGGCAGTTTGCCTGTTTTCATTCTTTCACTTCTTCTACCACTACCGTGAATTCGATTCTGTTATTATCCCACTTTACAGGTCAGAAAACTGAGATGCTAAAAACTTACATAACCCACTCAACATCATACAACTAATAAGTGGTACATCCAGAATCAAATGGATGGGTATTTTGGACATTTAGAGCAGCTATATGCTTCCTCACTTCCAAGGTTCCATTTTACTCATGGTTTAGTTGGAAAAACATAATTAAAGCTAGAGAAAAGTGTCTGCCACTATGTTTATTTCAATTTAGGATTTTCATGAGAAGCCAGTACTAATATGAAAGGCACTAAATTCTCTGGCACACTGAGGTATTGATATAAAATAGCTCATTCTGTTTGTCTACTTCAAATATTTGGTCCATTTTATAAACAAAAGTTTGAAGTACTCAATAAATATTATAAAACATCTTTCTTTTGTTGCAGGGGAAGGGTACTGGCCACAAACACTCAGAGGTGCTCTACCACTGAGCCACATCCCCAGCCCTATTTTGTATTTTATTTAAAGAAGAGTCTCACATAGTTGCTTAGCACCTTGGTTTTGCTGAGGCTGGCTCTGAACATGTGATCCTCCTGCTTCAGCTTCCCAAGTCCCTGTAATTACAGGCATGTGTCCTGAACCTGGCTTAGAACATCCTTCTTAAAGGATGATATAGTTCAAGTCTGAGAATGCTTTACCTGGATTTAAAGCCTAAAGTCAGTTAGAAGTAATTTTCCTAGCAGAAAAACAAAAATTTTGTTCTTAACCAGGCTGTGACATTATAATTATCACAATTACTAATATATTTCAGGGTGCATATTTTGTTTTCTAAGTGACTTTGTGATAATATTCTGGTTCCACATAAGAATAAGACATTAAATACAGAATAATTTCCCAAGATTGATTCTTTATTATGTTGAACCTAGTGTACCTCAGTCTGACTGGTTGTTAAAATCATCTGGGGAGCTTTTATGGTAGTTGTTCCTGTGGTGGTGTTTTAAATTTACCAAATCACTGACCATTATGATTTGGTGATCCTATAGTAGAGCCAGAGATATATATTCAAAATTCTGTGAATTGCTAGGTGCAGTGGTGCATGCCTGTAATCCCAGCAGCTTGGGAGACTGAGGCAGGAGAATCTAGAGTTCAAAGCCAGTCTCAGCAAAAGCAAGGTACAAAGCAATTCAGTGAGACCCTATCTCTACATAAAATACAAAATAGGGCTGAAGATGTGGTGCCACTCAGTTCATGCCCCAATACCCCACCCAAAAACGAAAAAAAAAATGTATGAATTATTTATGGAATATATATACCATTATAATAAAACCACCACTACAATACAATGCACAATTAAAAACATAATAAAGAACATTTAAGTAAAAAGTACAGTATATAGGAGAGACATTTATACTTCCATGTTCATTGCAGCATTATTCATGATAGTCAAGAAACAGAAACAACCTAAGA